GTTGCTCTCATATATATATATATATATATATATATATATATATATATGACCTCTATATACCTATATATGACCTATATATGACCATATATATATATATATATATATATATGACCATTGGGAGGGGCTTGGTTTACCTGAGAACACAAACTAGCTCAGAAACAGTCTAGTTCACCTACTCAGACGGCTCCACCATGTAAAACAGGAAAACATAAGCAGAGACAAGAGCTTTGCAATGGGTTTTTAAAGTGTATGTTCCAAACCTCCAATGAAACTATGCTCTCCAGAGCAGGTTTTTTGTAGTGAAGGGATATTTGCAAACTAGGTTCCTCGTTTTTGGGAAGAGCTTGCTGCAAGAAGCATCATATTTGGAACTAACAATATGAGAAGCAGCCAGTGGGGCAGATCTCTTATTTTTACAAAACAGAAGCAACAAGTTGATGCTGGAAGTGTTCTGCGTGCTCTGGCTTACTTAGAAGGCTACTTAAGCTTTCACACAATAAAGACTAGTCTTGAAACAAGCATTCCAAGTATTTGTTAGCCACAGTTTAATGTTTTCACAAGCAACATATGCCCTGGAAGCATATGCTATTTCAGGAAAAATCCTATCCCCTGATTATTACAACAGCTTTAGTTCTGTTTGTTTTTTTAAAGTCTGTTCCCACTCTGACAAAGTAATTTATTAAGCCCAGACAGTTGTTTCTGACCTTCACTCTCTATCTCACTGTGATGATAGAAGTGAAAATAAATAAATGCATCTGCCAAGCCTTCATTTGAGCTGGGGTGCTTCCTAGAGAGCAGGGAGTAAGAAACAAAGTACTTAAACCATTGTCACTCTGAAGAGTGCCTGCTACTTTTCAGGAGTCATTTAGCACTAATATTTCCAGTCAAGGAACCCAACTCTATTCTATGCAATTTATAGACAGTCAGTTCACAGGTTGTGTTATAAAGGACCATCAGTCTGAAAGTGTTTATTGCTTACTTGATACATTACATAAGTTAAAACATTTAAGTTCATCTTACAGTGTAGGTAACCATGCTTCTTAGTATGCTTTTATAGCCCTAAGCCATCAGCACAAAGATGCATCCCACAGCCCCACTCAAAGCAGCACAAACTGTCAAGGGTCAACTCAAGTCCAGGGTCCAGAGTTAGAGACAGGCAGAAGCACAGCTGCTCATGCCTTCATATCCTACTTGGCACATCTTCAGAAGATGGCCAACATTGGTTTTTCAGGTTGCCAAGTGACTTCCAAATTGGGGGGGGGGGGGAGGGGGGGAGAGAAAGGGGAGCAACCAAGATCTACTGCTCACACAGTTTAATCAGATTTGATACAGGACTTACGGAGCGGCGCAGTCACAAAGGGATCCTACTGAAGAGGGGAGAAAGTTTAGGGGCTCTGTGATTAATCTAAGCAGGTTTAGATAAGCAGCGTCCAAAATCCAGTCAGTGGTATCCCCACCACTGATGAGCGATTTGATCTTCGCGTTCAGTCACTAGGGTCCTATTACTGCATTCCTCCCAACGTGTGACCTTCCCATTCTCCACCAAGATAAATTTCCACTCTACTTTGGTGTCCACCGGCAAGGTGACAGACTCAGACCAGAAGCCATCCTTGTCATACTTGAGGGGAACATAACTGTGCCACTGCCCGAGACACTCATGGTCACCGGTAACACCAATCAGCTGAGCAGCAGAGTGTGTGATGTAGTGCACACGGAAAGTCACGTGGATGTTTTGAAACATTGGGGGCACCGCTGCAACTCTCTTTGCTTTCAAGTCCCCATCAGAGCAGTCTCCTTGTTCCCATTCTTTGCTGTCTGAATCTTCCATGCTGCCATTCTGACCAGCCTCCCCCCAGTCCAGGTGCTCAGAAACAACTTCCCAATCTTCATGGTCCAAGTTACGGCTCTCGGCTGGCTGGCACAGCTTCTCCTCACTTCTGTCCTTACAAACCTCACCAGAGGCTCCTGCCAAGTTCATCACGCACCATCCCTCACCCGCCTGCCCCACCTGTGGTCTCGATTCTCCCTGGCCATCACGTTCATCAGCCAGACGCTGCCCAGCGTCAGACTCCGAGGAGGTGACACACTGCTTTGGCAGCAGTTGCTCGGTCTCTGGAGATTTAGAGGAAGCTGTACCGCTCGGGGTATGGTTGAGTTCACTCCCTGGTGCCGCCGTCAAATCCTCTCCTGGTTTCTGAAGGCTGGACAGAGCAGCAGCCTTTGCCTGCCGCAGCACTTCCTCACTGCTCACCAGAAGGTCCTCTAAGAACAGAATTAAAACAGGCACAGTTTAAGCAAGACATTTAGCTCAAGCCGCCGCGGGTGGGCACGGGCAGCCCGCAGTCCCCAGCCCGCTACCTGCAGCCTCCGCCTCTCCCCTCGCCCGCTGGACCGCCGGGGCCGCCTCGCCGCTCTCCTCTCCCCGTCCGTCGTTGCCGCCGTACCAGAACCAGGCGACCAGGGCGGCCAGGAGCCCCACCACCAGCGCCGGCCATAGCCCCGCTCCCAGCCAGCCCCATCCGCGGGCCTCGGCCGGCAAAGCGGCTGCGGGCAGGCGCGGGGAAGCCGGGGACTGCCACAGCACGGGCGGGCCGCGGTCGCGGGCCATGGCCGGACGCTGGCAGTGGGGCTTCTTCCTTCCCTGTCCCGACCGCGGCTTTAAGGCGAGCTACGGGCCCGGGAGGAGCCGCCCCTGGGGCGGGCCGCGGCTTCCCACAGCACCATTGGGCCGCCCCTGGAGCGGGCGGCTGCGAGAGAGGTAGTGAGCTAAGGAACAGCTGAAAGGTTTACGTTGTGGGCAGAATGCGTGATGATCTTTGTTTTTGAAAGAAAGCGTTCGTGACTGATGAACCTTGAGCTGTAATAACCGCAGAAGTTTGTGCAGTTGAATGGTGCTGGTGGTGGAAAGCCAGACTTCCTCTGGTGTCCCTGAAGAACTCAGTTAAACTCACTGCTAATTTTGTAACCTGTGCGTTGTGCTCTAATGCCTACAATTGGATTTTGCAGCATTGTCCTGCTCTTCCATCATCCTCGTTACTAAGCTTAGGAAGCTTTTTTGGACTACCAGGGCTTCAAATTCTATTAGTACAGAAAATAATTGACAATTATTTAACTTCATATTCCTACCCAGTTCTGCTCCTCTTGGAGTAATGATGCCAAATCTTAATTCAAAGTGAAACGATTACACAAGCAAATCTAACATTAGCTAATCATAAAGTCTAGTAGATGCAGTTTCTGATTTTGTAGTTCAGATTAATAATCCCAGAGTGACAAAAGTGTAAAAAAGTTTATCAGTCCAGCAGGGGCTGGGCTATTAGCACCAAAGATTTAACGCTAGAGAAGGAGTTACAGAAGCAGTTCCAGACAGTTTTACCACTGTTTGTTTGTTTGTTTAATATCCTTTCTTTTTATGTGAACAGAGCTGTTGATTTCTAAAGGCCACTGATGAGATTTGATCATCAGAAAAGAGAACAGCAAACCTCTGAATAACTCTATTTACAGTGTGTAAACTTCTTAATCTTCCTGTGTCGTTAAGAGCAGTGCTACCTCAGCTTAACAGGACAGTAAATGTCACTCAGATTTATAGAAGCACAAGTGTGCAGTCTTCACAGTTAAGTTTCCTGGCTTATGTGCTGTATGGGGGCCTGTGTGAATATGCAGGATTCATTGTTCAGTCTCTCCTCTCCTCTCCTCTCCTCTCCTCTCCTCTCCTCTCCTCTCCTTTCACCTCCCCTCTCCTTTCACCTCTCCTCTCCTCTCCTCTCACCTCTCCTTTCACCTCCCCTCCCCTCTCCTCTGTACTTCACTTGTTGTTAAACACAGTAAGCCTTCCCTAAAGCCCTGCTCTAAAAAGGGCTGAGCTTGTGCTTAAGTATAGACGTCTACTTTGTTGTGTGAGATGTGTTCAAACATGTTAAACGTGTACTGCTCAGATCTTCTGACCAACAATACAGGGAAAGGGAAGAGCTAAGAAGCTGGGACCTACCTGGGCACTTCCTCGGTGGGTCTGGTTCTGGGTGCAGTCTCCTTTACAACTGTTGATGTGTCAAGGGTCTGTTTACCTTCAGTTTAGCCTTGGTACTTAAAATAGGCACAGTAGATTTTATTTTCATAGTTTACTTACGTATTCCTTTTTTCTAGCCTTCATAGCAGAGGCAGTTCCAGCTCTGTATTTATACACCACCTGATCTCAGCACAGCTGAGATCCTCAGTTAGGGCACCTGGGTACTGCTGTTTGTTAGACAGTAAGTGTGCACTGCAGTTTAAAATTCCTGAGCATCTCACTGAAACAGAACAGACTGAAATCCCTATTCTGTCATTTCAATAGAACAGCGTCCTTATGCCAACCACCAGCACAGAAGTAGTATTTGGAGCTGCTAATCTCAGCATTTCTTAAATTAGCTGGTAAAGTGGCTTTGAAAGGAAGACATCAAAGTAATGCAGCTTACAAGTGGCTATTACAGAAATCCTTAAGGAACAGTTAATTTTGAAGGCACAGAAATGCAAGTGATGAAAAGCAGTGACAAAGTAAAAGCAGGTTGCTTCTTAATAAGCAAGAGAAGGGCAAAATTATCCTCCAATACTAAACATTTTCCATGTTTATACAAGTCTCCTCTGCTTCTCGGTCTCCTTTTCACACAGTATCTGCAGAAGAAACTAAACCAGGGAGCTCCCAAGGAATAATTGTTTAATGTCATGCATTTGGATGACTATAAAAAGAGTCACAAAGAACCAAAGGGCTAACAGAGACAAACTTCCTCTTCTCCCAGGCGGGGAAGGACAATTCTGAAACCCAGATTCCTGGGGAAGACCCTAGAAGGCATCTGCTATTTTCCCCATTTGCTCCCAAGTGTCATCAGCATCAGCTGTTGCAAATGCACTTTGAGTGCTGTTGTCTCCTAGTCCTTGGCCTTTCTATAATCCATTGTGGAATGGCCACTTCTAATGAACTGGCCACATTTTAGATGTGAGGAATGTTTTGTTGAGCAAGAGGTTCAGTGGAAAGACAGTTTTATCAATGATTACATGCTTATGATGGCTGCAGCATGTAGCATAACTGGAAAAGGCTTCATAGTTTGGAAAATGCCCAGTAGAATTATACTTCAGCGTAATCAAACACTGTTGCAGAAAACGATTATCTGACCGTTTGGTTCCCCTCAACCAAAGTCCTTACTGTTTTGTGCAGTCTCTGCTTTCATGTAGCCACTGAAATAGGTCAGATGAGCTAACTGATACTAAGTTAAAAATTAGTATTTAAATTACTAATTTTAAAATTTAGTATTTTAAAAAAAAAAAAAAAAAAAAAAGCCCCAAAACTCTTTTTCAGCACAAAGACAGAGGGGGGAAAACAAGAATGAGTGGCTTTCTGCCTTTGAAAGGCAGATTTTTCTTCAGACGCTGTGTGGATTTATGTTGGATACAAGTAGTCTTAGGCAGCTCAGTCATGACTGTAACAATTGTACCCTGTGCAGGTAACAGAATTTGTGCTTAGGAACTCCTTTTTAGCTGTCTATTTATTTTGTATGTCTTCATAAAAACAAGGCTCTTGGCAAATGCTAAGGCTGAAATTCCTGAATCACTGAGCATTTAACAAGAGTTAAAAGAAGAAATGTTCAACAGAAGTGAGAAGAGTCATGGCCCAAGAGCTCCCCAGATGCTAAAGAAGAAGATTCCTGCTCTGAAACAAACACGGATCATCACCGTCAGTAACTTGCCCTGGGTTTTGTTACCTTGTCTCTCTCAGAATTTCTGAAATGCTTGCATCCTGTAGAATCTGGAGACATCTGCCTCCTAGGAGAATTTTGAAGACAGAACGATGTGTTCCAAAATGCATTTTGTGTTTTTTAAAGCTTGTGCTGGAACCAAACAAAACAGTGCTATAGTGAATGGGCAAGGAGGCAGTTTCTCAGATTCTCAGGGACATAACCAATTCTGTTTCTAATTTATGATTTTATTTGGTTCATGAAATCATTTCTGATATGGCAGTAATTTAGAAGCGTGTGCTCTGTGAACACTGAGGCTTCACTGCACCTTTGTTTACTCAGTCAGTGCGGTAGCAGTTGCTGAAATATTTTGAAAAGCTGCATGTGACTTTGCAGAATACCAGCCAGCTGAGTGGGATAAGAACAGGAGCCTCAAAGAACAGGAGCCTGCCTGCCGCTTCATATTGCAGAGCCAGTGCAGTAGGGTGAATACTTATTACTGCAATTCTATAAACAACTGTACAGCCATGCCTGTTGTTAACGAGCCCTAGCCCATATGTGCTTACACAAACGACCTTTCTGAATTTTATATTGTAAGCTGTGCCCTCTAGTGTGGTGACAAGGAATCTCAGCTTTAGCTTCAGAGTGTTTGAGAAAAGCCCTGTTGAAATCAGACCGGTGGCACATCTAGCCCGCTATTCTGGCTCTGACAGTGGCAGTGTGGGATGCTATTTAGGGAGCACTTATGAGCCTGCCTGTGTTTCACTGTCTGATCTCCTGGTGTACGGTTGCTATTTTAAGGACAGTGGAGAGTACTGGGCTGAGTGGTGGTTCTTCCAGTTTTATAGTAGAACAAAATGGAAAAATGAACAAGAAGAGAAGAAATAAAAATTAAGGAGCCCTGTTACACCCTTTGGCTGTACTACTGGGGCATCTGTTCCATGGACAACTCAAAAATTAAAGATTGACAGGCAAGCTTTCTAGAGCTTTTCAGGGATCTCTTTCTGACCTTAACAGCAACAAGAGTAAACACTTGTAGTTTCACAAAGCGTGTTGAGAGGGAAAAGAAGAACAGGCTATAAGCAAGCTTAGAGACAAGGAGCAGATTTCTGATAACGAATAGAAGTTTTCAGTGTTTCACATTGCTGGGTCTTACACTGCAGCTTCTTACTGTCACAGAATTAAAAAGCAAACAGTCACTGTCAAGTGAATAGGAAGAGACATGCCTCTTATTATCACTGCACAGGAAAAGGAATAACATCTCTTAAATATCTTAATCAGAGCTCACAAAGCTTAGTGTATTGTATTTTTCAGTAGAAGCCAGATCAAAATCTCAAGTCAAGACTCAAGACACACTGGGAGTTAGCCTTTTTGCTGCCACAGGGGTCTTCTTGACAGTTGTTAAAATCTTTTTGCATTGGGTGCTTACCCAACAAAGCAGAAAAATGAGAAGGTTGAAGCGTCAGTATACTTTAGACATGCATCACGCTCCTGAACGAAACCATAAACCCGACTGTGTTTCTGTCCCGCCTCTTCCTCATATCAATTGCGAGTGTCGGCTTTGCACGCTTGACTCTTCTCTGTGCAGCATTTCGCATAGCCAGCAGGTGGCATGGGAGGAGAGAGTGTGTGACGGTGAAAGCTCTCGCCTGCCGTACAGAGACGGGTTCTTAGGTAGGTGTTTTACGGCTTTATGGTATTTTACATAGCTTCTGTCCCAAAGACGTGTGGGGAGTAAAGTATTTCCAGTTTCTTTGAATCTCCCTTCTTCTTAATTAGAGCTTCTTAATCAAGTCCTCTGTTACTGCTTATCCGTATGCATAACTCATTTTGCTCTGTCTTTGCATGTTGGTCATAGATGCGTAATTATTCCTGTAACTCTTTTTGCTTTCTTAAAGAACAGTGACCAAACTTGGGCAAA